CCCACTGCTTTCCACCACCTGGGAATTTTATTTTCTGCTTACCCAAAGATCTCTTGCAGCATTATTAGGACAAAGATTATTTTTTTAATTACAAACCATTCTTGGGTTTACATTTGAAAAGTAACAGAGGAGCCTGGGAATGTTACTCAGTGGGAGAACAATTGTCCAGCATCCAGGAAGCATGGGCTTGATCTCCAGCCACAGAAAGAAAGAAAAAGACTAAAAACTTAATCGAGGGAGGGAGCAAGAGGCTGATCAGCTAAAATGATGTTCCCATGGGTCTCCTCTGGTGCCCTTGGCCTTTTCCCCTACTAGCTCAGCTTTTACCTCTTGGCTGAGGCAATCTTGGCTCCCTCAGATCTGCTTCATCTGGTCTCGGTCCTGGGTGGTGCCTCCTAGCCAAGAGACACCACAACAATGCTGACTTCCCAAGAAAAGTCCCCACCTGTCACAAGACTTACACATGGGTCCCTGTAACATGAATTGCTAAGTGGTCTTTTTATAAAAACAAACAACAACAAAAACAAAAACCCAGAGCAGATACTGGAGTAATGCTGAAAGATCAGAGAGACAAAGGAACAAGCCACCTCTTACCTCTAGGACTCCTCAGCCTGAAAAACTTTCCTCAGCCCAAAGACCTTAGTTCCTGTCCCCTCATGCCTTATATACCTTTCTCTGCCCTCCATATCACTTCCTGTCTCAGCTTTCCTAGTGCTGGGATTAAAGGCCTGTGACTCCCAAGTACTGGGATTAAAGGTGTGTACCACCACTGCCTGGCTCTGTTTCTCTCCTAGACTGAGTCATTCACATATAGCCCAGGGTGGCTTTGAACTCACAGAGATCCAGAGGGATCTCTGCCTCCTGAGCTCTAGAATTAAAGGTGTGTGGCACCATGGCCTGGCTTCTGTGTAAAGTCTAGTGGCTTGTTCTGTTCTCTGATCTTTAGGCAAATTTATTAGGGTACACAATATATCACCACAGGTCCCCTTTCAGAAGTAGGAAGGACCCAAGAGGGGAAGGCCTTGCCCTTGTGAGCCTCTTACAAGGTCAAGTGCCAGCAATGGCCCACCTGCCCCCAGGGAGTTAGGAGTGTCCCGCGCCCCAAGGCCCAGCACACTCCAGGGAGTGAGGTGTCCCAGCCCCCTCATTTGCTTCCTGGAGGCCAGGCAGATCTGAGATTCCAACTCCTGGCCTGGACAGGATTTAGGAGCAAGTTTGTCTCTTGAGTTTCTTCTCCCTTGCTGTCGCTAGGTCGGGTTTTCCCAGGACGTAGAAACAAAATAAGAGCACAAAACGAAACCAGGCCTCGGAACTCTGATAAACAGAGAAAGCGTCTGATTTCTTCTAGGACCCTGGAGTTGCCCGCCTTTCAGCCACCCGCTGCTAGGCCGGTTCTGGTCCTGGGTTTCCCCATAAGCGCAGGGTAGTGCCCTCTCGTTTCAGGTGACCTTAAGCTCGGTCGTAATTAACCAGACCCCGGCGTGCGGTTCTTTCTTCACTTTGTAAGTTCCCACCGACCACTCTTCAAGAGACAGACAAGGGAAGGCAGCGACCTTTATTATTTGTTTTGGAAAGGTGGGGCACCGGCGTGGAATGGGCTCCGTGGCCGAGACCATACTGGCGGTGACCCGGGCTGTGCCGGCGGCCAGCGGCAGGGCAGAGGCTCCGTGGCCCAGGTGGGAACTCAGGCAGCGACCAGCCCTCCGAGCCCCAAAGGCAGCTTTTCCAGCAGGGAGCCCAACTCTCGTCCGGACTCAGAGCTCCGGGCCCAGGGAAGCGCGTCCCCACTCTCTGCGGAGCTCTGCCACCACCCTGCCCCGGAGTCCCGCTCACTGCCGAGCCGCCACCGACCTAGTGCAGGCAGTACAGAGCGAGCTGCAGCGGGCCCCGGGTTCCCAGCGCTCCTACAGCGGTCTGCCCTTCCTTTCCCCGGGTCCCTCAAGTTCTCCCTGCCCCGGGTCCACCGCTAAACAGGGACACCAGAACCCGCTCCCTCCCGCAGCCTCCGGCTGGAGGCTCCGCAAAGCACCACACGCCCTGGCCGCCCGCGACGCCTCTGAAGTTTGTTTCCCAGGACCTTGGGGGCCGAAAAGAACTTGTGTAGCAAGGGTCCAGGAGAAATGAGAGGGGACCTTCCCTTCCCCCAGATCGCCCGCCTGGAGTGAGGGGCGTGGTCGATGGAGGCGGGGAGGGGGCCTCAGCGCTGGGGGCCCAGGCGAGTGGCACACCAGCCAGTGCCTTAGGTGGTTAAACCGAGCCCTTTACGGCGAACCCTGGCTTCTAGAACACTTGGGACTTTGCTCCTCCGGGAGCCACCTGCCTGGAAGTTCCCAGCGAGTCTCTGGTACTCCCCCAAGCAAGAAAACTCGGGTCTGCCCGCTAAAGGAAAGCGGGCCTTCCTTTCTCCCTTGCCCGGCTGGGTGGCTCTGTAGTGTTTGCATTACCTGCTACTGATCTATGCCTGGAGCACCGACGCGCAGACAGCGACAAAACCACCTCCTTCTGCACCGGATGAAGAACGCCTTTCGAGACCCTGCTTGCCTCCAATGTCCCACTGACAACTGGAGTCAGGTTCCCCATCTGTGCCTGGAGGACGCCGCACTCTGAAATTTGCTGGCCCTTGTGCTTTGCGTCCAGAAACAACGCTTTGCCCGCAGCGCTCTGGCTCAGCTGGGGTGTTAGTAAAGGGCTGCCCTGGGAAAGCCTTACAGACGCTTAGCAAGTAATTTGCATAAGATTGGGTTCTTCCAATTTAGCAAAACGAGGGGGCCCTACAGGAACCATAACCTGTTGAGTTAGAACCCCTTGGACTCCTCCAATGGGTTCTACCTTTTCACAACTTGGCAGAGTTGATGGAGAGAACGCTGGAACCTCAATCCCCCATGCCTTCTGGCCACCGAACTCAGACCTTTCCTTTGAACTGTAAGGATTAGTCTAAATGACTGCTAGGGCCTGCTACAAGAATATTTTAGTAATAGGACTGCTAGGCTGAGCTGACCTGGGGTAACTCTGAGGGCCAGAAGGAATTAGAGGGGCACAGTCTCACAGTCTCTCTCTCTCTCTCTCTCTCTCTCTCTCTCTCTCTCTCTCTCTCTCTCTCTCTCACACACACACACACACACACACACACACACACACACACACACACACACACACACGATTGGTCCCTTCCAGGCAGCCAGGGTTGCACCCTTCCTTCTTTCTTCTTTCACAGCTGTTGGTGAGGCTGAATTAAGAACCAAAATCGCTCGCAAAGCCTTCAAAAAACATGGGTTCTAGTCTCTCCAGAGCCTGTGGCTGGAAATTCCAGGGATGTTCAAACTGGGTTCTAGGAAGGGACCACCTAGTCGGAAATGAAGCCTGGAGCTGGAGAAGCAGCCCAGCAGTTAAGATCGTGAAAACTGTTCTAGCAGAAGACCCCCCCACCCAGTTCTGGTTCCCAGCAACCATATCCCTTGGCTCACAGCTGCCCCTAACTCCAGCTCCAAGGGAATCTGACACCTCTGGCTGTCCTTGGCCTTCAACTGTGCTCAGGTGCACACCCAGCCACACAGAGAGAGACACTCAAATACTTGAAAATGCACAATTTTAAAAATAAAGAGACAGTCACCAACACGGGTGACTGTCATATTCTTAAACCTGCCACGCATGGTATGAATGTTTTTAATCTCAGCAGTCGGGAGGCAGAGGGGGGTGATTCTCTGTGAGTTCAAGGCCAGCCTAGTCTACAGAGCAAGTTCCAGGATAGTGAGGGCACAGTGTGAGACCCATTTTAAAACAACCACCACCAAAACCAAAAACAAGGCCAGACCACAACACCTATGGCGTTTTGGGGACCCCGAGAGGACCCGGCTTTTGAATGCTAGCCTGTCTGTAGCTGCATGGCAAGTTGTACCATGCCTCTGAGCTTTAGCTAGTAAAGCGATCATCTCTCCATTCCCATCCAGTGGTCACCATGTCCCCCACTGCAGGGATAGAATGGTATATGCTCATCTCCCTCCCCAAGGACAAACAACTGAGACATTTTTGGCCGGGAGAAGCACTAGTAGGCATGCCTTGCCAAGTTAAGCCCCTCACCAGGACTACCTAAGACACACTGGGCTTCCCATTCGCCTCAAAAGAGCCGACCAGGAACATTTTAAGGACCGCTTAGGTTAAGTCCCAGGAGACCTAATCAACAACTTAAACGGCTCAGAGCTCCGGGACACTTCTGGACTGGTTGGTGGCCTACTGCTATCACTGATGGTGACCCCCCCACCCCCCCACCCCCACACAGCTGGGAAGGAAGAGTCCACCCTGGCTCCTCACACCCAGTGTTTATTCCGAAGCAACCTAGTTGCTGCAGTACTTGGGCCAGTCCGGGAGAGCACCTCTTGTCTCCATAGCGGAGGACGTTGCGATGTGGAGTGCCTCCGTACCTTACCTCCCCTCCATCCCTCACGGACTCGGAAGCTCACCATCAAGCCCCCCCGCTGTGTCATAAAATATTTTATTGGAAAAAAAAAGTCACCGTCTTCGTGAGAGGTGGGTAGAAACCCCAGCGACATCGGGACCGGGCATCAGCTGATTTTCCGGGTCTTCCCGGAGCCGACTCTGCAGGACAGGGCCGTGGAGGCCTGCACCCGGGCGGCTCGGTCCCCAAGGCGCGGAAGCGGGTGTGCGCCTGCCAGTGTCCGGGCCCAGAAGGCCGGCTGGAGGCCGGAGAAAGGTGTGGGCAAGGAGCGGGGAGTGAATGCGCATGGAGCGCCGGGCACCGCGGAACTCCGAGAAAGACCAAAAGCTTCCGCCGTGCTGGACACGGCTCTCCCAGACTGGGGGGCAGGAGACTGGAGCTCGCTGAGACCTAGGCTTGGCTTCCAGGCTTGTGTCCTTCCTTGTTTGGCCCCTAATTGTCCGCATTCAAAGTAGTAATGAAACGTTTAGAAAGCAAACGGCGCGGCACCGGCGCGGAAGGGCCAGCTCCTGGGTTCCCGCCGATGGCGCCGCACCCCCGGCGGAGCTCAGTCCTCGCAGTTCCGGTCGCTGGGCTCACCCGGCATCTCTGCTGGCTTCTCTGCCTCTTTGGCACGCTCCTGCTCCGTGAGCTGCTCGCTCGTGGGGATGGAGTTCTTCTTGGGCCGCCCCTTGGGCTTGGTAGGGGACTCCAGGCCGCCACCTTGAAGCACCTGTTCCGAGAATGAGCAGTACTAGGGTGAGGTGTGAATCAGACCAAGGACCACCCGGTGCCCAGAGCCCAGGTGGGACCCAAGGACCCAAACAAGGTATCACCAGTGACTTGACTCCAAGCCCTAAAGAAACGCCCCAAGGTGGAGGATTAGGGGCTGCCAGGAGGTGTTTGCGGTGGGAGGGAATATCGGCTCCAGAGTGAACCCAAACAGAAAGAGCAGAGTGCACTGGGTGGGCTGGGCAGTCTTAGTGTGAGGAGAGTGGGGAGAAAGTTCTTGGAGGATGCCCGGGACAATGTCCAGGAAACCCGGCAAAGAGGAAGTCACCAGCCACACTCACTATTTTCTTCCACTTCATCCTCCGATTTTGATACCATGTCTTCACCTGCAATTGGCTCAGGCCCAGGGACTCAGCTAGATCTATTCTGGAAAGAGCAACGCACACCCTTAGCAGGTCAGGCGGCCACCGGCCGACTGTCCGCTGAACCCAGCCTCAACCGACACTACCTGTCAGGGGTGGAGAGGTACTTCTGCTTCTCGAAGCGCTTCTCCAGGCCCATCAGCTGCAGCTCCGTGAACACAGTGCGACTCCGGCGTCCTTTCTTGGCTTTCGTGCCCGACTCCCCAGAGCCAGCTGCTTCCAGCTTCCCTCGGAGTTGCAGCTCCAGCGGCAGGTGCGAGGCGCCTGCAGTGCCGGGCATCCCAGGCCCCGCCGCCAGCAGCGCCGAGCCCAGCCCGGAACAACCGAGCGGCGCCAGTGGGAACTTGAACACAGCGGCCTGCTCAGCCTTCAGCACTGCTACAGGGGGAGAAGGGAAGGAGCCCGGTGAACTGGAGTCCAGCCTCCGAGGCCGCTGCACTGTGCGGTGCCTGGATGCCTGAGCTCAGTCTGAGCCGGCTACTCCCTAAGGAGAGTAAGGACTTAAGCTATGCGTCCTGGGGGACCCTCCTTGATGTAGGTATCCCGGGAAGTCTAGAAAGAAGTATCCTTCCCACCCCGCGCTCTGTTCTGGCGTTCCCACGACCCAGCTGCATCTGAGATGCCAAGGTTCTTAAAGGCAAGTTCGCTGCGTAGAGGACACCGAGTTGTCTTTTGCGAAAAAGAGAAACCAAGAAGAAACGGGTGAATTCGGAAAAGAACGCGGTGGAAATGTGAGCGTTTGTTTTTCCGGGCACTGCGCTGAGATTTACAACGCTAAGCTGAGGCCCCGACATTAACTAGGGGAGGGTTGCCAAAGCATCCTTTGAACCTGAAAATTGTCTTTCTTGTTCTCTCTGTTCAGGCTTCCCGCCCCCCCCCCCGAAGGTGCGTCCATGTTCTCTAGTCCTAGGCTATTTGCCCGCTTCAAACGAATTACCAACAATAAAGCCGTTGGTAGTGAAAGGCAGCAGAGAGGTTGTAAACCAGATGGACCCCAAACAGGCAAATTGGATCCACTGTCACCAAGACAGAACAGAGGCTGGTTCGGATCCCGAAGGCCGCTAGCTGAACTGGAGTCTGTGTAGGAGCTTCCTTTCCTGGTAGTCTTGTCGTAAAGGAATGGGTCCAAGCAAGGGTGAGGTAAGCGTAGAGAGGACAATAAGGAGTGAGAAGAGAATCTTAAGAGGAAGGGGGAGACAGATCGACTCCACCAAAAGACATGGACGGAGGTCAACTAAAGAAATTGTACAAGTCCTATGCCAAGATGGAGAAGGCGTGCAAGCTGCCCCACAATCCCCCAAGAGACAAGACCGAGACAGAAAAGGTCTGAGCAAGTGATTCAAGACGCTTGGAAGCCCAGCTGACCTGGAAGTGGAAGGGCCAGCCGGGCAGCGGCTCACAACCAGGCCTCTTTCCTTCTAACAAGGCCTAGGGAGATCCTGGCTGCAGCAGAGGCCTCGGTTTGACGCTAGCTGGAGAGCACAAGGCTCTGGGAGGCTCCTGGATGGCATGGGCCACCGTCAGCACCCAGCATTGGGAGACACAACCCTCTTCTCCAGAGGTCTGGGCAGCTACTGCCATGCCCAGTCAGCCCCCTATCGCGAAACTTAGACTTCCCTGGACTGAAGTCATTTTGATCCAGAGCGATCGGTTGACTGGTGTCTGACGGGGATGCGGGCTCCAGTCCCTGGGCCTGGCTTATCCACCGATTGGAAAAGCCTAAGTCGCCCTGAAGCAGAGGACAAACTCTCTCCTGGCCTGGCCTGAGGACATAAGGCCTGGTTTCTGCGCAGCCCATTGCCCGCACCCTCTACTTCCCAGTTGAAGTGTGTGAAAAGACGTGCGTGGGGCCTGTATCCCAAGTAGCTCCAGGAACAGAGGGAAGGAGGATGGATTCTGGGCAGCCCCTTGCTCGACTCCCACCCTCCGGTCAAGCCCAGTCCACTGCACGTACCCAGGTGGCTGTGAAAGGGCCGGGCGGCCAGCAGCGCCTGCACGCCAAACTTCAGCAGCTCGCCCGCGGCGGCAGCGGCAGCCGCAGGCGCTGCGCCCTTGGGCCCGGGCGGCTCGGTGAGGATCTCTTCGATCATGAAGCTGCGGTAGCGGTGCGGCCGATGGTCAGCACAGCCCTCGGGCGGACCGAAGCGCGCGGCGCCCGGCTCCCCGGGCCGCTGCATCGCGGCTCCCGCGGATGCGCCCGCGGCTGGGCAGCGACGGCGGCTAGGCTCGGGCGCGGGGCCCGCGCGGGGCTCTAGGCCGGCCCGCAGCTCCCGGCGGCGCGCGGGCGCCGGCTCATGCCCCCTCCCCCGCCGGCTGGCCGGGCGGAGGCGCAGGGCGCGGGCGGGGCGCGCGGGGCTCGGCCAGTCGGACCCGGGACTGCGCCCCCGCCCCGCGCCGCCGCGCCTCTAGCCCGGCCAGCCCCCGCGTCACCGCCTGGCCCCGCCCGTCCTGCCCCGCCCCGCCCCGCGCCGCCGCCCCCCACCCCCTAGGCCGCGCCGGAGGGAGGGACCCAGGAGGGAGGCAAGGAGGTTTGAAGGAGGGTTAGGAGGAAAAGAGCCCCGGGATAGGGGCTAGCAGGCGGGCACCAAGGGAAAAAGAGCGGAGCGCACGCCCGAGAGGACAGCACCGAGGACGGGACACTGCGGAGATGGGCGAATCATGAGTGAGAGGTGAGAAAGAGGCTGGAGACAGGCAGCAAGGACCGCGCACGGGGATAACACGCAGTGGTGTGAAGGTGTCCAAGCCGCCTCCTAGACGTGAGTGCGCCCAGAGGTAGAGGAGAGAGATCCTGAGGTGCGGGAGGGCATAGGGAGGGAACAGCAAGGCCAAGGACTGGGTGGGATGGGGAGGGGCTGGAGAGACCGGGAGGACGAGGAGGAGGAGCAAAAGCCTCGCAGCTCGTCAGGGAAAGGGGATGCCCTAAGCAGCCTCCCCAGGACTAGGGGATGCTAGCTATAGGGATGAGGTGCAGCAGTACACAGAGGTGTAATTCGCAGGGTGACGACACCTCCGCACCAAGACCTTTCACTGTCCACCTCAACCTCAGTTTACCATTCTGGTCTCAACGCTCTGGATGCCGCCCTGAAAGAAAAAAGATTCCTCAACCTAGGATTTGCTTAAATTTCGAATTTGAGCATACCTGGACGCGTTTTCCCTGGCAACCACTAGACGCGGTGGGCTGACTTAGGCTCGCTCAGAACAAGAGACAGAATAAGATGACCCTTCACCTGTTCTTAGTTTGGAGGGATAAAAAGGAAAAACTGTTACTGGGTGGATTTGGGGGCAGGGATTCATGGGGTGCTCTGAGAGTCTGGGGGGGGGCAGTCTCTCACGGGACTAAGGCTGAGGCTTTTAGAGCTTTCCATTTTTCCTCAGCACACCAATCCCCAGGCTAAACTGTTGAGTTTACGCCCTTGGATCTTGCTTGGCCCTGCTACCTTCTGAGCTGTCTCCCGCCTGGAGGAGACACTGAAGCTTGACTCCAGGGAGTTTGTGGGGACTGAGGGTGCAGGCGGTGGGGGTGGGGAGGTGGAGGGGTGTGTGTGTGTGTGTGTGTGTGTGTGTGTGTGTGTGTGTGTGTGTGTTCTACAAGGACTGCTCAGGGGTAACACGGAGGGTGGGTGTCCCCCAGGAGGTCAGAAGGGGAGTTGCTGCACTTCCCAGGTGCCCAGCTCTGGAGCCTTGGGCTCTGTCTCAGCTCCATCCAACCCTGCCTGTCAGTGCCTCCTGGACTGGACTCCATGTCTTAGGCCTCTCCTTCTTGTCCTGTGAGCTCTCTGCTGAGTCTCAGGCCTCACCTCTGGGAAACTGAGTTCACCACAACCACATCCCAACTCCTTCCCAAGTTGAATCATTTCTTCCACCTGCTGACAGGGTGTTTCTGAGGCCCTGGACTACAGTGTCTGAGACACTAAGAGATGGCCAATATCCTTTGTCCATGAGAGCTGGGAGGGGGACAAAGGACATCTTTACAGATGTTCTGGTGAGACCTAGACCCTGAAAGTCCATTGTCACAGTTCAGCCGATTGTTAGTGACTTTCTGAGCCGTGAGACCAACAGGACCGAAGGAAGGTAGCCTTCGTGGCTTCCAGTTGCTTCAGCCTCCCAGAGGGGATGAGCAGCTAGCCAAAATAACTGTTTTAGAAGGGGGGGGCACTAAGACTTGTACCCCTCCGCAGGCCTCTCAGAGATGAAGTGGCAGGGTTTTGCCTACTTCTGTTGACCCAATAGTCACCTTACTTCCCATGGAACAGAGAGGAAAGTCAGCGTCTGTTCCCGGACACAGAAATTCCAGATGGCTCTGCTCTCTGGGTGGGGAGTCCAACTACTTCCTTTCTCAAGACTACCGAGTCCAAGTACTGGCCCAGGCACCCCAGTGAGTAAAATGGCTTTCTATGGTTCCCTGTCCATACCGGAATCAAGGCCCTTCCCCTCCACTGCCTCCACTGCCCATCTCTGGATGGCTCTACATCAGGCCCCTCGACTTCCTCTTGTGAGTCCGAAGTATAGCCTGGAGCGGTTTCTATCCGGGATTAGTCGTGGCCAGCTCTCATCCTGTCTTCTCTCTTAGTTTGAGCCTGACTGAAACCACCCGTATCTGAACTCAATGTGCCCTCTTCCAATCAACCAGGTTTCGAAAACTCAAGATTGGTCCTGGAATCTGGGGTCTGAGACACCAAGACCACTCATATGGTCGATTCCGCAGTCACCAAATCTTTTTTTGTTGCCAGTAAACCACTTCAGGTCAAGCTGAGCAGAGGGGCCTCATTTTCAGCATGAAGGCCTTGATTCTAGATGTGGAGAGTCAAGAGACATATGCAAACTTACCCCCACTCCACTCCACAGGTGTGCCCCTTTCTCCCCGCCCCCGCCCCGGCGTCCCCCGGCTCCTTGGACTCTGGCCAGGGCTGTTTCAAGCCTCCCAGGCCGAATGCCTGCAATGATTCGTGCCTGTTGGGAATGAGGCCCCAAGGGCTAAAAGCTTTGCCTGGCACCAAAGACTGAAAGCCAGTCTATGCCCTGATACTCCCTTTCAGCTCGAGCCCCTGGCTCAACCTTTTCGAACTACAGTCTTCTCAAAGTCCTAGGGACCCTAAAGCAAACCTGAGAATAAACCCCTTTTAGGCGAAAAATGCAAAGAAACGGGGTCAGGGACCCTTTGTTTAGAAATTCTGCATTGGCAGTCTGGAAAGCGGTTCACAAGGAAAGGGGTTCCCCCTTCCACATGGAGGACACGGAAAGAAGGGAAGTCCCCACTAGAGGCACAACCGCTGAACCCTAAGCCCGAGACCCGCCAGGGCCTCCCGCCGTCGCCTAAGCGAAAATCCCGGAAACTGGCCGCTCTGGGCGAGGCAGGCACTGTGGAAAAGGTGACCTCAGCGCCCCAGGCCAGCCACCCTCCCGGGTGGCCTGGTAATAGGGACTCCAGGCTGCAGGGAGTCCTCAATGCAACCTCCTCGCCAAGAGGGGACCCTTGAGCGGAATCCGTCCCCTCTCCCGCTTGCGAGCCCGGAGGACCCCAGGCTTCGGCTGGCTGTGGCGGGTAGAAGAGAGGAATGGGTCACCCGATGAAACAGTCGACCCCCAGAGCGTGGGTGTGAGGTTGCGATCTGCGCCACCTCCAGGAGCAGTTTCTTTCCCAAGTGCCCTCAGGAGAGACAGGATTCTGGAGGCGTCTACTCGGGAAGTGGTCCCTGTGCCGCAAGGCCAGGTCAGCGACCAGCATCAGGGCGCTTCTAAGTGGGGCTCTCCTCCAACCCTCCCTGGACCTTTGAAAGTTTCTTTTTGTCTCCCTTTCCACTTGCAATCGATATGTATCTTAACCAGCGAAATGAATTTGGGACCGCCAAGTGTCTGGAAGATTTCTTAAATGGTTACATCTCTGGGTACTGACAACCACCTGACGGGATTCCGATTGTTTCCCCAGTTCACAGCAAGCTATGAGCCTCCCCAAGTTCGCCACGCTTCCAGAGCGCTCTGGGTAAGTTTTCTTTTCAGGAGCACCCTAGATGGGGTTCGTTCCTCTCGTGTTTTCTTTCTCTAAGCCTGCCTCTTGACTCCAGGCAGGTTTGCTGTGGTGGCAATGGCGGTGGCCTTCCGCAGGGAGGCCGGCTTCAGCCTCAGATGGGCAGTACCAGGCAGAGGTCGCTTGGACCTAGATGTCAACGCGTGGTCTGAACAGGCTGCCTCCTGCGCCCTGCATTTTGCTAGAAAGAGGTCATGAGTTTGGTTTCAATACACAAAACCGTCGAGGATATAAAATTACGCAGTCTCCACACTCACAGATTACATCTAAATTGCTTTTTCGTTGGAGAGCCGGTTTTTGTAACTCTTTTTCGTTGTGACTAGTTCAGTGTCCGTGTAGACTTTCGTTTTGAATCTTCTCTAACTCCCCGGAGCTTCGAGGTCGGAATGCATTTTGCATGACAGTGCCTTTGCAGATTCGACCTTTGGAATCGATTTTTTTTTTGGTAGGGTTTGTTTAAGGATGTGTGATTTCCTCTGGAAATTAAAGTTAGGATACATCTATGGGACTCTCCGAGGAAACGGTTCTCGGTGGTCAAGGTCCCTGGCGATCCTTCTCTGGTCCTGTCTCGTTTCACTCCCACCGCTGTCCTTAGCGGCTTCCGGTGGGACCTCGTATCCCAGCGTAGAGGTAAGAACCAGGTCAGTGCTAAGACGGAGACGCAGTGGTAGCTGACTCTGCGGCTCCGTGGCTCTCGTGGCCTGGGCCGCAGCTGCTAGGAGAGGAGCAGCTCACATCGGCTCCACTAGGCAAAGAACGCAGAACCTGGGAGACTGTTCCCGGGCCAGAAGAGGTCTGAACCCCGCGGTGTGCCGGGCTGGGGAGTGCAGGCTTCCTGTCCCTTCAGGGTAGAGGGGCGGCTTCGTGGTGACTGTCCCAAGGCACCTTCTAAGCCCACTGCAGGCAGGTGCCCAGTCACCGCGCTCGCACCCGGGGTTCTACCAAGGTCCTAGAGGCTCTGGCCGCTGCGGTTAGATTCAAAATCCGCAGAGTGGCCTTCCACGAAAGACTTGGCTGTGGAAAAGATGAGGCCCCAGAAAGGTAACGGCACAAAGACAGAGGAGGAAAGGCGTGCTGGAAAATGCTTTTGCTCTCTTCTTTCGCGTCCCCCCCCCCTCCACTTCCCGCTCTTATTTCCCCAACTCTAGCACT